CTTTCCCCTTCCTGCCTGCATCCCCAGGGCTGTTCTCACTATCTTCCTGGGTGGGACTGGGGGGCAGAGGGGTGGCTATGATGATGAGCAGGTCCCAGCTCAGTTCCCTAGGCCTTGCTCAATCTCATGCCCTTGCTGGGAGTGGACTGCGGGGCCCTGCCAGGTCTCATGTGCACATCTTGTGTCCACGAGCTCCTGGCCCCAGTACACACAGGATGAGCATTTATGGAATTGGGAAGTTTGGGTGATGCCCGCTTATAGTAGGGTGGCAACCTTCAAGGTTGGGTAGGTTTCACAAGTCAGAGAGGAAGAGGCCTTGGGAAAATACTGGCCTCCACAGCTTTGAGTTTGGATAAGGGCCAGCAAACTGCCCTTGCTGCTGCTTGGAGGCAGAGGGAGGGGGACACTGGTGATAGTGGCTAGTGAGCCCCTGTGGCTGGCCTCTGAGCCTGAGGTGTGGCCGCTTTTGTTCAGGAGCTCGAAGACCTGTTTAACAAACTGGATCAAGACGGAGACGGCAGAGTGAGTCTGCAAGAATTCCAGCTCGGCCTGTTCAGTCATGACCCTGCTTCACTTCTGGAATCTTCCACCTCGGTCAAGCCAGACAGGCCCTGGTCTCATTTCCAGGTAATGGGACAGTTCCATCTCGAGCCCAGCATTCACTGCTGCCACTCTCCTGTGACATAGGTGCTGTCACATGTGCTACCACACACCAAGCCATCAGGGGTTGGACAGGAGTGTGTGCATAGCCATGTGAGCGCGTGTGGCTGTGTGGCTTAGATTCTAGCTCTGCACTGACCTGGGGTTGCTTCTCCCTGGCTGTATGTCACTGGGTGAGTCACTCACCTTGTCTGAGCCTTGTGCTCCTCTGTAAAGTGGGGACAGACTGGATAGCCACCTCCCAGGAGTCACAGAAGATAATGCACAGAGTGTGGGCATGGCTTCCTTAGTGAGTCTCTGCAGCTGTGGGACGTGCTATGTTCAATAGGAAAATGCCTCCCCTTCCCTCCCTACTGTGGCACAGGAGGCAGGGTCATCAGTCTAGAGTCAGCCCTTGAAGTCTTTCTTAACCTGCATCTCCGAACTGTATCTCACCCAAATACCAGGTCTTCCTCTCTACAACTAGGAGTCCTGGGTGCCCAGCCCTGCTCTGTCACCTGCAGAGTCTTGTGATTTTGGGCGAATCTTGTGATGGTGCAATGTCTCTGTACCCTCGTCCAGGAAAAGGAGCTGATGATAATGTCCAGAGTTCTTATCAGGTCTCCTGGGGACAGCAAGGTGCCAAGAACAGGCTGGTGAGGGCAGGCATGTGCTAACCACACACAGATGTCAGGTCTCGGGACAGCTGTGTGCTCAGGGTGTTCCCTTCCCGCATGCAGGTCCCGGAGGAGAGCAGCTGCCTCACCGCCACGCCCTCGTCCCTTGTGTCTGTGTGCTCGGGCCTGCGCCTCCTCTCAGGGATCGATGACGGCACTGGCTTTGCTCTGCCCGAGCAGGTCGTCGCTGTGTGGGCCCAGGAGGGGATCCCGAACGGCCAGGAGATCTTGAAGGTTTGGAACTGGTCACTGATGGCTGCCCTGGCTGGCCCCATCCAGGTGGTGGGGGGCCGGGACATGACGGTGGGCAGAGACCCCATGCTGGGGACAGAGCAGGGACAAGGGCTCTGTGGGAGTCCACCCAAGGACATCTTGGTAGAAACATTTTCTTTGACTTTTACTATTAAACTGAGGAAACTTTCATTTAAAATATAAAATAAAAGAATACAAGAGAAAACAGCAGTCTGAGATAATCCACTCGAGGGTTGGTTTAGTATCATAGACTCCCCAATGCTGAAGGGGTATGTCCCACAGAGGAGTGAAAGAAGCCTTCTCTGTGACGAAGCTGTCACTGCCACAGAAGTTACAGACAAGTTCACAGTGACCTGGGATCCCTCCCACACCCCCCAGGCAGGTTGAGCTTTGCTCCCCAGTGCCCACTCACCTCAGACCCCTCTGGAAGGGGTGTGGGGAAACTCACCTACTCACCATGTTCCTCCCTGCAGGAGGCTGTCCTGACTCAGGGCCAGGACTCTTGACGTGGTGGTGATGGGGTGGTCTGGCATGACACCAGCCCTGAACATTGGAGGGTGCTGGGCCCTGGGTTGAGGGGGAGCAAAATTAAGGAATAAGGGGCTGGGCGTGGGAAGGGAAGACACGTGGGGAAGTATGGCGAGCTGGGGTTGTTATTGTTTCACAATTTCACTCTCTATTATTTAAAAAAGTCAACCGAACATTGGGGGGTGCTGTGCCCTGGGTTGAGGGGAGCAAAATTAAGGTATAAGGGGCTGGGCGTGGGAAGGGAAGACACGTGGGGAAGTATGGCGAGCTGGGTTTGTTATTGTTTCACAATTTCACTCTCTATTATTTAAAAAAGTCAACCACAGAGCCAGCCAGTGGCATGGTGGTTAAGGCAGCCAGATCCCAGGTGGTCAACTGCATGGTTCAAGTCCTGGACACAGTGGCTCGAAAAACAGGCGTGTCATGTGTTCATATGTGCCCAAAATCCTGAGAGGAGAAGGAAGAGGAGTGGGTTGCATTGTGACCTTTCTCACTTACCTCTAGACAGCACACACACCCTATAATAATTTTTTTTTAAAAAGGTGAACTGCACAAAAATCTGTAAACGATGTGAGAAAACCTCCCTCCTTTTCTCCCATTCCTTGCATCCTCCAGTTCCCACTGGGAGTTCTCTTTCTCTCTCTGGCGTATGCCCTCTGGAAATGTATAATTATTGCACCAAAATAAACCCATGCTTGAATTTTATTCTTTCTCACACTTACTGAAGTACCTTCACAGTTACACATTCTGATTTCATTTTTTTCTTGCAAAATTGCTGTTGTATTATGTCTTTTGATAACTTGGTGACTTTCCCTGTAGTTGGACATGTAGGGTTTTCTCTGTGCATCTCAGCATTTAGAATGCACCAACAGCCCATGATCCCCGCTGTGATTCCATGTAGGGTAGGGCCTGACGTCGCACTGTGACTCTGGAGAAACTCTGTCGCAGCAGTCCACAGAGGAGCTCAGAGACAGCCTGTTCACGAGCCGCCTGACTATGGGTGGAAACCCTCCAGGCCTACTCGTGGCTGTTGCCGAGGCTCCCAGGATGCACAGCCATGCCTGGGCAGTCAGCTGTTTGCTCTGAAAGCCAAGGGCTGGCCAGGGTCTTCAAGAACCGCAGGCAGGAGAGCAAGGAGCAAGGCTGCTCGTGCTCCTGATTCTCCCTCTACCCACTCCTGGTTCCTGGGTGTGTGGGGACTTGTGCCTGCATCATGGGCTGTTGGGGACAGCCACCCCCCATCTCACACTTCCTCTGTGGCTTTCCTGTTGCCAGTTGTGATTGCACCGCCAGTTCAGGAGCTGCTCTACAGTGAGCTTCCGGGTCAGTTCCCTCTCACTCCTTGTGCCCCCCTTTTCTAATCTCGTGCAGTTTCTGGCCCTGGAATTTGGGAGCAGCTTCTTGCTGCTGAATAGTCCTAGCTCAGGGTCCCTCTTGAGGTAGTCAGCCAGCATCAGCCAGTGCTGTCGTCCTTGGGAACGCGGTGGGGCTGGGGATCTGCTTCTGGGATGGCACTGTGGGCTGCAGGTGGGCGGCCCACATCCACCACGCAGGCCCTCCTCAGGGTAGCTTGAGTGTCCTTAAAACATGGCAGCCACTTCCCCAGAGCAGGTGACCTGAGAGAGCGAGGAGGCCCCGTGTCTCATGACCTCGACCTACAGGTCTCGTACCATTACTTCCTCAGTGTTCAGTTGGTTGGTGATGTGATATGGGAAAGACCACGTGATTTTCCTGTTCTCAGTCAACAGTTAGCACAAGATACTTATGTGACCAGGTGTGTTGAACTTTTCCCATACGCCAAACAAGCAAACCTATAGCTATTCTCCTTCAGACTCCAGCTGGGCACCCCCTGATCCAGCCCAGCTCTGATACTGTCTGCTTGGAAAGAGCCTCGGATCCTACTGGCTGAGGGCTCAGTCCCACAAGACTGTCCCCAGTTTCAGTCACAAGCAATCGGTTGTCACCCATTACTTCTCATGGGCCGGCTGTCAGTCAGGGTTCCCACCACCCCCTATGTGAGTCCCATTAACTTGCCAGAGCAGCTCACAGAACTCGGATGCACTTGGAGTCCACTTAGCTTTTATTACAAAGATTATTGCAAAGGGCACGGGTGAGCAGACAGATGGGAGACTCTTGTGCCAGGGAGCTAGATGGGAGGGGTGCAGAGTTCCCATGCCCTATCTGGGCACATCGCCCTCCAGGAACCTGTTCGTGTCAGCCATCTGGAACCTGCTTGTGTCAGACTTAGTCCTTTGGGCTTATGAGGAGGCTTCATTATGGCCTGTTTGATCAGTCAGTAGTTTTTAGCAACCAGATCTGTCTGCAGCGCTCTCCCTGCAGAGGTCCTGGGGGAGCTGAAAGTCTCTACCCTTTGATTTCACCTGGTCTTTCTGGTGGCCAGTCCCATCCTGATGCTCCCGAAGGCAGGACTCCAGCCACCTGCCGTTGGTGAACTTACAAAAGACTTCTCACTGTGAGGTCCTCAGGATTTTAGGAGCTGTGTGTCTGGAAGCAGTAGTCCAATCACATACACGGTTCACAATTTCATGGTGATGAAGAAAGCCCTGCTTGGCGTGGGGTTGAGTGCTCAGGAGACAAGGGGACTGGTTGCTGTGATGTCCTTGCACTGTGTTTGGGTGACCTCAGCTTCCCCGGGTTCCCCAGGCCTCATCCACTAGACTGATCTCTTCAGGAGCTCCTTGTGGGGGCGCCTGGGCAGCGTCCCAGTGCCCATATCTGGGCACATTGTCACGCCCCTTTACATAGGCTGTGACATATGCTACTGGACTTGTATGTGGTTGATTTTTTTTTTTTTTGGGGAGGTTTTTGCTATAGGGGCT